CATGAAATTAGCAAAACTAAATGTAAAGCATAATGCATATTTTAAATACCCAATAATGATACTAGACCTGTTTTTTTATCCAACGGAAAATGGCCGTCAATTAGACATCGACGTTTAATTGATGTTGAAATCACTGATATTACATATTCAAATATTGACTCAACATCAATTCGATGAATCATTTTATCGCTAGACAGCTGAATTTATTGGTTCATCTTTTCTCCTTTTCGTTGGGAAGATAAAGTGAAAAGAGAAAAAGTGAACTATGCCTGAGTAGTTTAATACTGGAAAAAAACACTTATTGTCACGTTATATTTAACAGAATATATTATTTCATTGACAATGAAATCAAAGTTGATTAAATTATGCCACTGTATTTGGATACTTTATATAAAATATCCTTACAATAATACGATAATGTGTACTAATCCATTGTAGTGTAAGTGATCGAATTTATCATAAATAAAATGCGTCCAATCTGGTAGCGGAATATCCGTATCGTTTTTGCTCGCATCGTAAGACAGTAAAAATTCGTTTCGATTGCGAATAATAAAAGCTTGCGTCCTATATTTGATCGCAATCTGATGGCTATCAATCGCGACAATCGAGTAATATGGAACGGCTTTCGGGAGATTTTAAATCTCCGGTGTATGCTCCATTGAGAAAAAATCCGACGCTACGAAGACGAACGACACAGCCGAGAAACCTTGTTTCAGCATGATCGTCTGCCGTGTATGCAGAGGTGATTAGTTTTTAACGCACTGTTAACTTGCACTGTTAACTTGCGTTAAAAACTAATCTCCTGTACCACACACACACATACACACACACACACACACACACACACACACACACAGCGATAGTGCGTATCGCGTAGCGAAGGGCGCATTTAAGGACGCGAAGAATAACGTCTACTCCCCGAGACTTGTGTATTCTTAGATAAAAACATCGCACATTCCACGCATGACACACTTTTCTTCCACGCGGCACACATTACGTAATTACACGAGATATCCAGCATTGAAAACTGCACAGCGAAGTTCGACTTGTAAAAATAACAAATACAATGAATCTTTGTTCTCAATTCGCATTCGGTAAATTCTATTCTATTCGGGATGTCCGAAAATTGGAAACGCTCGATTGAACGGGTAATGCCATTGAGATCTTTCCTCGAAGAGAGCCAGGCTCGTCTCTCACCGTTTCGTTAAAGGGGATACACTAGTTAACGTTCTATTACGCGAGAATTCCCATATGTTCGTGAAATTTAATACTTAAGAGAAGAAGAAAGAGACATAATTAGGGATATATACGAGTTTCGGTGTCCAAACGTTAATTTAACGAGTACGTTCGGGTTTCATCGCTGACTCCAATCGAGTATGCGAGTTCCACGCTTGATTTTCACTCCGTGTTCGATTTACCAAACGATCCGTCTGATACACTGCGATTCGTTCACCACGACTCCAGCACTGTTAGATCCATAATGTGAAATTCTACCCAATATTTCAGTTATAATTATACTTAATTACCTATTAATTTTTAATAATTTTTATAAGTCGTCACTGCTCTTATTTAATATGTTGTTAATTTAATTGAAATGACGTAATTGAATATTTTAATTGCAGAAATGTATTTGGAGACTCGAATTTAGTTTATTATTTACTAAGTACACATTGATATGGATGGTTGTTTATTTTGAAACTAAACAGTCCAGCAAATAAGCGTTATTTGTTGTTTTAATGCTAAAGACGTCATTTGAACGTCAAAACGGCGATAAAGCGTTCACTTGTTCGCCGAAAATTCGACCGTAGAAATGAATTAATTTAACACATGTAAGTAAAAAATAACAAAATGTTAACTCAAAGGATTCGATTATCATTGCTCTTTTAATCTTTATCGAATGATGAATTCGGTCACTCGCGCTATACTGGTAACTGGATTAAAGGCTGCTTTATGTAAAGTACATTGGCATTATAATATAATTGTGACAATGAAACACTACATATTCGATGGCAAATAACGCGACAATATCATTATTGGACATTTAATCGTTAAATAATATTTATACGCTTTTACATTTAACTTTATTAATCTCATGTAGAACAGCTTTTAGGATGCACTAATCTAGTGTAATGGAAGTGACCAGAATTCGTTATGACAGTGAAGATGACAGCACACGTGGTTTAATGGGGCATCGAGCCAACGACGCCGCGAGACGGCACGTGGAAGCTCATGCTCCAGAATTCGCGTGGAGTTTGCCACACGGTCGCGATAATGCCACTATTATCGGATTCGCGCCATCCGAAAAATAGATTTTTTTTTTTCCCTGTCGTCAGGAAAACGTCGCGTACAAAAGTAGAACGCGCATTGGAAAGCGATACCTGCATGCCTGAGCTGTTTCTCTTCTTCGGAAAGATAACAACTTCCCCTTTATCAAGCGAAAGATTCTTCCTTCGCCTAAAAAATCCTTCGGCGCTTTTAATATTCATTTTGTTGACACAAATCGTACTTTTACAAGCGAACAAGAATTTTGTTAAACTTTGGACTATTTTTTATTTCATTCTTATATCTTTCGAAAATGGAAGAAGTTATACCTATTCTCATTGCGTTTTATTCTTGAAGTTTAAAGTTCGTAAAACGTCGTATTATATATTCAGTGACTTTAGTTCCCTCTTCCTTTTAGACTCTAGACATCTCAAATGAGATCTCTTTATTCGTCCCACATATTCTTTCTCTTAAACATTATGTGAAATACTCGAATATTATTATTTCTCTTGAGTTTTCGATAGGAATTCTGTTAAATTTGAGATTATTTTTTCATCCCATCCTCGGCAGATGAAGGAAACTGTATTCTCATTACATTTTATTCTTGAACAAGTTTAAAATTTCCGATGTGAAATATCATATTATATAG